TGGAACGTGTCGATTTATTGTCCTTAAAACTAACTTTCCAATTTATTTTCAGAAAGTTTTGTCGTCTCCTACCGGTGCTTCATAAGTGCTTGAAAAGTTCTTTTGAAGAAGTAAATTGGAAAGGAAATTTCCAATGCCTAAACATGTTTGTTATCTAATGATTGAGATTGTTACAAAAGAAAATAATAAAATACAAATAAACCTTTTTTAATGTATTGAAATTGAGAAGACCCTTTTTGAATAAAAATAACTCCTAATTTTATTCTTATGGGGTATATTTGATGGGATTGTGCCGTTCTTTTTTTAACTTACGTATTTAATTAACTATTATTATTTTTTTGTTTATATTTAAGTTTTGGGAACACTGAATCAATGGTAAGAAATTATACTGCGCAATTTTTTTCTTACCATGACAATAAACGGTAGGCCTAAAGCATGTATTTTATTCTAAATTAAAAATTCAAAAGCCTATCAAATAAGGAAGATTTCACGTTTTTTAGCTTTTTGCCCCTACACAATTCAATTTAACAAGAATCTCCTATCCCAAGTTGAATTTTTTATTTATCCTCTCGAAGATAGTTTTTACAACTTAAACAAATCCCTTCGCAAACCAATGCCGAGAAATTGCATAGACATTTATTTCATAATGGTACAATATCTAGACAAAATTACTATAAAAATGTTTTTTGTTTTATAAAACTATTTTCTTTCTAAGGCTAAGTTACAACGTGATTAATTAGTGCGTAGAGCAATTGTGATTTCGCTAATGAAGCTAGTCTTATTAATGACCACCCCAAGACATAGCGGGGGGGGGGGTATGGATGGGATGGTGGAAGAGGCTTTAGCATTAGAGGAGGTAGTACAATAACCTTTATAATATAACTTTATGGATAAGTAAAAAGATTCGGGAATTTCTTACCTACAGCCTTTATAATCTATGACCCATGGGGAATTTTAGATGTATGCACAGATTTTAAATTGTTTTTAATACTATACAAATGGTATTTTATGTTAGTGTAGGCCTATGTGTTCCCAAAAATGGTTGAATTTAACAGTCATTCATGATACAGTCCAACCTCAGTATAACGAATCTGAAGGGGACCGAACTGAATATTCGTTATATCAAGGATTTCGTTAAAATGAGGTTCGTTATATAGAGGTTAGGTTTGCAGGAATTTCGCTAAGTCGAGGTTCAGAACCAGTGTCGGTCAATATAGGCCGGGATTTGACCTCATTAAAACACAATTAAAGTAGCATAGGCTACAATACTTTACAGTACAGTGTTCATTGTGCAGTAGAACCTTCTGTATCCAATAGTCAATGGTAGAACCTAAATTATCCGGCATAATAAAGGTGAGGGATCTTGAATATTGCGCAATCATGACAATGGCATTGACCCTGGTACAGGTTAAAAACTTTAAGTTTAAAATCACAGCTTGTTCTAACCCTCCTAAAGACTAGCCAAACACTACATTGCGTAGTCATAAACCATGTAAAGAACAAAACAAAACAGTAGAAAGTTGTGTAAGCTACTGCTCGCGATAGGCCAGTACGCTACCGTAGGCTACAGTACTGATTTATCATAACAGAGGAATGTCAATAATAATCATTAACTATAGCATTGGTGTTGCTAGTTGAAACAAACCGTATTGAAAACAATAAATTATTAGATAAGTCATTATAAAAGTGCATATTCATAGCCAACTTAAAGATAATAAAAACACTCGTAAATTAAGGAATATTAAAATAACGATGTTGCTATTCTTTCTCTTTGCTTTTGTTTTTATATTCTTTCTTAGATTTCTCTTTATCCAAAAATTGTACAATTCACCATATTTACTTATCACCCAATCACAGCTTACTACAGATTACGTCGTCATCAGTCCTCAGTGAATGAAATCAGTTCTCAGTTGCAACATTGCGTGCGCAGCGACAGCAGACAGAGAGATGTGTAAAACGGAGCAGACGAATGTTAGCGCAAGCGATGACGTCACCTTTCCATTTCATTTTATAAAGAAACAGATTTTCCAAAAACAATACTGGGGTGGGGGATTTGTTATATCAAGGGAAAGACGTAGACGATTCGTTATGCAGAGGTTAAATTCGCAATGTAGAGGTTCTGACAATGATAAATTCGTTATATTGAGGTGTCTTATTTTAGCCGAAATCACGAAAAATTCGTTAAATCAAGGTCATTGTTATGGTTTGTTCGTTATGTAGAGGTAAAATATACATAGTCTTTTATGGAGAGTTCTAGGGGATTAAAAAAAATTCGTTATATCAAGGAACTCGTTATATTGAGGTTCGTTATATCAAGGTTAGACTGTATCTCAATATGATTATATATTTATGTAGTTTAAGGAGGGAATTTAACGATGTATTCTTAAAATACTTTCAGTCATAGAATGTTTTTAGCACTGATTATGGAATTGTACGTATTACCATTGTGTTACCATAGGCTCCTCAAGTCCGCAGCGTTGGTGTGGCAACGTCGCACTGGCCGGTCTGTTGCTATGGTAATAAGAAACAGGTGAACATAAATATTGCGCAGAAGCTCCAATAGTAGTAACTACAACAGCTGATTCGGTAGGCCGGGATTGCAGTGTTGCCACTTTTGTCTCGCCGCGGATTTGTATTATAGTATTATTAGTAGTACAGTGTAATATTGAATTACCTCAATATAATGAATAAATACATCACCTAGCTTCACAAAATTATGCTTTTCCCGTCATTAAATCAGCCAAACTTAAACTTAATTTCTTATCATTCGCATAGATCCGAGTTTTCAGTGATCTATTGAGCACTTTGGTCATGAATAAGAATAGACGTTTAGTACAGACGTGCTTGTATTGACAATTTTAAACTTTAAACAAAATGACTGGCTCAAAGCTATATAGTTTTACCTACTTGATCTACTTATCAGTTTGTTGCAAAAGTAAACTTGATTTACCTCAGGGCGGATACTAAGCTAGTATCCAGTTACTTGGTAAATTAATTCCCCAATCAACCGCCGAGAAGTGAGATACAGACTTAATTAATGACAAGATAAATGTCTTCAGGCTTAACCGCATTCAATTCATTACTGAGAATTATGAAATATTCATATATACTTTCCTTACTGTTATTAATGTGTATAATTTATTTCAAAAATATGGTATTAGTTCCCAAGTTAATATGGTTGGTGAAATTGTAGTTTTTTATCTCAATATCTTATCAATGTGAGTCAATATCGGAACTAGAGTTTGATAAACACTAGAAGTCGTCCAGTGGTCGAAAACTCGGCCAAAAATATGTAATGTACTGACTTCTCTATTTTCACCCTTCGCTGTAAATAAAACATGTGGTTGGAATTTCTTGCATTTCTTTTCATTTTCTGATAATGTTTCGTTGTTATTTCGTCACCAACATGGCAACCCATAAGGCCCTTGATATCTATTTTTCGATTTTAAATTCATTTTGTGTGCTTATTTTTGAGTATATTTTAACTTATGAAGGGACTCTGCACATCTGCAGGAAAATATCTTTCTAGCATTATACGTAGATTTTCCCTGTAATGCACACGAGCTGAGAAATAAGGTTTTAAAAAAAAATGCTTGCCTATTAATATTCAGGATAAAACTTCATAAAAAATGTTTATTTAATTGAAAAAAAAACACGTGTAATTACTTCTACTAGATATGGGTCGAATCAGTTGTCCTGCAAGCAGCTTTTCAAGCTATGATTCAATAAATTATTTAAGGTCGTGTATAAACCAATTTCTCTTCAGCTTTCAGACAACTTTTCCTTAAATCTGTAACGTGATAATTCAATGTCTGCAAAACCAACTTTTCAATTTCTCCGAGAAAAGTCACTGTTCCACTGTGTTCCATGAGTGCTTGAAAATTCTTCCAACATGAAGAAGTTCGCAATAATGGCCAATTCGTACCAGGCTTCATATTTGTTTTCTTTTGAGTAGAACTTTTGTATAACTTACTTTTCCACTCAATCTGTATTATTTTCCTGGTGTTCAAGGTTCAAGTTCCACCTGTCACTCATAGATTTCAAACTAGGAGATTACTTCACTTCAAAGCCCTGTGCTAGGTCCTAGACTGTTGGTTGTACATAAATATGACATTATTAAGGAGATATTTTAGGGAAAATCCAATAAAACAAATGGAAATTCGGTTAGCCTGCAGGTTTGCTGTGACGAGGTGTTTAATCATGCTGTAAATTAATCTGGATATTGCTAATAATTTGGGTATTTTTATTTTTATATTACGTGTAAAAGGACTTTTATGGGTTGATGAAACAATATTTCATGTTCCATTCATTGGATAAAATGTTAACATTTCCTATTCTCTTTTTGCTTGCTAAATCTTCAAAATTTTTAAATTTTGTTTTTTAATTTGAAAATAAGATATAAAATAGTTTTATGAACTTTTATTCAATTATCAGTTTTAGTTTACCAAATCCCTAAAATTTATGATTTATTCAACATAGGCAGCATTTGAGAAGCTTAAATATATTAATCAATTCCAAAAGGCCTGCATTATTTTCTAAAACTCCTTAAAAGTTACAGTAGTTAGGCGAAACAACTTTTTTCAATTGTCAGATTTCACTGCACTGTATCCACAACTTAAATAAATTACAAGCTTCTCCTGTTTATTTGGATAATAGCCAAAGCATTGTGATAACAGTTTTTTATCTGTCAAGTTTGACAAAATCAATTTTCATTCAAAATAGATTTAAAAAAATTGAGTGGACTGATAAAATATTACAAAATTAGACAGCTGATTTCAACAAAAGATTTTTTTTTGAGACTTTTTCTTAGTTCTGTACTTTCCACATTGTAAAAGATCAAAAGTTATCACAACATTTCAAGGTTAAATTAAGCTAATGTACTCTTTCAGTTGCTTATAGTAAATTTTATTTTAAACAGACTACACAGTATATTTTAAACAAGTGACCTGATTTTTTGTGTATGGTTTGTCCAAAAAAAAATATTTGAATAGTTACCGGTACTATCGAGAATGGTATTTATCATTTTTGTATAAAATTTACAATGAAACCATTTTTAATATTTATTTTGTGTTCAGTAACCTGTAATTGTGCATATGGGTGAGTATACAATGTTTTTTACTATGATAGATCTTATGAGTATGTATGTTTTAAGCAAAATATCAAATTATTCTTTTGGTAGGCCCTTAGGTAGGACTATATGTTTATTCTAAAAATATGTTTGGATATAGTGAGCTTTCATACTTGTTTAAAATTGGCCTATAAAATATTTTTCTTCGCTCTCTGTTCCTTTATCTCCTTCAGCCTGCTTTATCTTTACTGGTTCATATATTTACTCACCACTCTATTTTCAAAATCAATAATCTTTTTTTGTCAAATTCCCTGGTTAGTGCAAAGGTGTCTGACCCATTACAGAAGTGCATGATTATGGCATAGTAGGGAAATTGGTTTTGGTTTCTATTACAACAAAACCCATATGAGAATCAGTTTTTCTAGAGACCAGTATTTCATACTGATAGTCTAATATAAGGGTTGATCAGTTTTAACTAAACATTATGTATGACAGACAGACATTCAAACATTAGGAAAAGAAAGAAACCATCAACCATCAACATGTAAACCACTTATGGTGTAGTATATACAACTTAGTGACAGTTTGCCAAAAAACATGGTAGTAACTTCTTGAGTTTGAATTTTTATAGCATAACCTTACATTCACACAGATAATATTTACGACAAAACTTGATTACATGCAAACGTTTGGAATACAGTTTGAAATTACATATTTTGCAAATCCTTTACGTAAGGAAAAACTACATAAAAATAAACCAGCTGTTAGTTAAACCAAATGATATTGCACTCGAACAATCATAAAAGCTTAGTGTTGGCTGCTAGACTTAAAAAATACATAAATCTAAATCTAAATGTCTAAAAAACTCAAACAAAAAATTTAAATTATGGCTCTAACATTCTATTCTTCTAAAAATTATCATTATTTAAACAGAAGATTCATGAAAACCCCTTAAGTGGTTGGTTTAGAATCTTCAAAATAAAAAATACTTTTATTTCGCGTTTAAATATAAGGAGATTTTCACTTAAAATGTCACATACTAGGACTTTGACAGGGAATACATTATTGCTTCATTTAGACCATCATTCGACTTTGATATAACTGTCTTTCGAGTATCAAATTTACTGACTCTTGATCTACTAAAACTTGCTGATCTGTAGGCCTATACCTTGTTTTTGGACAAGACTCTATGTGAACTACTAGTATATTTTTATGCTTCCATTTTAGCTTTTATATGCATTTATAAATCTTGAAAATATTTTGTTTTGCATTTGCCACAGTGTATAACAATTTTAAAGGCTTGGGACTCTATGATAGCTTGTTGCACTTTGTCGCATATACAACAGACTCTAAAAGTTGCCATATTCATAAAGAAAATTACTGTCCCTGATTTTATTTTGAATAATGAAATTAGAGTAAGCTATTAAAAAGGATTAATACTATTTTTGACATGGTTTTGATGTTTCAATGGGTTACTGGGATAGTTTTAGGACGTTCTTTTCAACCTTGAGAAGAGTAGCATGCACTTAGTGTGTTACAAATCATGCATTTATTATTATAAATTAGCATCTAATGGTGAGTGTTTATGGTTAATTGGTTATGGCAGTTATTTTAAGATGTATGGTGAAAAGTGCGGGGTGTTTCGACTAGAAAATTATTAATAAAAAATAATTCCTGACTGTCAATAATTATTTTTCATAGGATTGCAGCTGAAGAGACTCCAATAATTTTCCCAGACACCTGCCCAAAAACCGAATACAATCCAAACAACTTGGCCAGCTCTATAATACAAGATATCAAGACATCAGTCCTGCTTGCAGAATGTTTGCTGGCTAACTCAACAAATTACCCAGACTACTACAGACCTCACGATGGGGAAGAGTTTGATTTCATCATTGTAGGATCAGGATCTGCAGGTGCTGTGATTGCGAACAGGTTATCCGAGGTACCTTCCTGGAGAATCCTGCTGCTTGAAGCTGGTGGGAATCCAGAAGAAACAACGGAAATCCCAGGATTATATGGTGCATTGCAGAAGACTCCTTATGACTGGCAATATCATACTGACTCTGCTGAAGACAATTGTCTGGCCATGGTGAATAACAGCTGTTTTTAGCCCAGAGGAAAGGTTCTTGGAGGTTCTAGCACAATCAATGGCATGATCTATGTCAGAGGAAACAAAGAAGATTACAATGGATGGGCTAGGGCAGGGAATGAAGGATGGGACTATGAGAGCGTGCTTAAATACTTCAAAAAGAGTGAAAACATTGAAGCGGAAGAAGTTTTAAGACACAATAACTACAAACATTTTCATGGTGAAGGTGGATATTTGACTGTTGGATCTTTTATTGACGATTATGTAAAAGATTTGGTCAACGCACACACGAAAGGTATGGAAGAACTAGGATACAAAGCAAATTACGACTATAACGGTGAATCACAAACAGGGTTTGCCAAGCTACAAGGAACGATTGTTGGAAGTAGAAGATGTAGTACAGCCAAAGCGTTCCTAAAAGAATTCACAACCCGTAAAAACCTCTTAGTCTCTAGATACTCACTGGCAACTAAGATTTTGATTGAGAAAGATTTTAAGACAGCACAGGGAGTAAAATTTTTGAATTATAATAACGAAGAGATAACTGTTAAAGCGAAGAAGGAAGTAATTATTTCTGCCGGAGCAATAAATTCACCACAGCTTCTCATGCTCTCAGGAATTGGGCCAAAACAACATCTGGAGGAGTTAGGAATTGATGTGATTGAAGATTTGCCAGTCGGGCATAACCTACAAGATCACATGTTGATGACTGGATTGCTCTTTTCATACAATTTTTCAAGGCCTCTTAAAACATTGACAGACCGTATGTATGAATTAATGTCACCTTCTACGAGTCAACTATCAAGTACAGGTATGCTGAGCTATTCTGGTTTCATAAATACTGTTGATGCTGTTTCTGATATTCCTGACATTCAAACCCACCACTACGATATTGATGTAAACGACACTTCGTTACTCACAAGTGCTTTGGCAGGGTTTGGTATACGAGATGAAATTATTAAATCATTCCTGGATATAAATTCCAAAAGATTTGTAACACCAGTAATGCCAACATTATTGAAGCCTCATAGCAGAGGTCGGATACTGTTGAGATCTACAAATCCAAAAGACAAGGTTAAAATTTTGACTGGCTATTTGACTGATGAACATGATGTAGAAACGCTTTTACGAGCCACTGAATTTCTATCAAAGCTAGCGGCAACCAAAGCTATGGAATCTTTGGACACCAAGTTTCATGAAATCGTTGCTCCTGCTTGCTCCAAGTATGTGGTGTCTTCAAGAGACTTCAGGATTTTTTCTCTTAAACACTTTGTGACGACATGCTACCACCCAACCTCCACCTGCAAGATGGGACCTGCTGATGATCCTACGTCCGTGGTCAACCCTCAATTGCAGGTGAAGGAGGTGAGACACCTCAGAGTTGCTGATGCTTCTATAATGCCAGACATTGTGAGAGGCAACACCAACGCTCCTTCCATCATGATTGGAGAGAAGGCTGCCGATCTTGTTAAACAAATGTGGTCGTGATTCAATTTAAGTATTGAAGGTTTTCTTGATACTAAAGAAGCAGATTCAAGTATACAACTCAACAAATATATAGACTTGTCTTGTATGTAATCAAACTTTTTTTAGTACTAAAAGAGTTAAGTGACTATGATGTTACAAATTATACAAGGAAAATAATTTATATACAGTAGCCTATTTGAATCCATTAGACATTAACAAAGAATTTGACATATCTTGTATATTAAAAGAAAACGTTATTTTTAGATGTATTTTAGCTTCATTGAAATAATCCAAAAGTTGTATGGTTTGCTAAATTAAAAACTAAGGGAAAGTTTTATATTTTCCCGCAGAAAAAAAATTTTTGTTGTATATTAAAAATAGTTGGGATTTAAATGTATTACTACATTAATACATTCAAATTAAAAACCCTAATATTAAGTTGGCCATATAAGTTGGTTTTTAGATTTGTTTTCCTTCCATTTCTATGTATTTGGTTGTCTGACAGTTGTTTAAACTTTTTCCAGCTAATTATAACCTTTTAATCCTTTCTGATTATTTATTAAATTATCAAAACAGTCATTAAGGCTGGTTTGATAAAAGCTTAGTAAACTCTCATTTAAGAGGGGGTAATTTTGTTGAGTTGGTTGATTAAAAAATATCTTTCAAATGCCTCATTCTTTGTACTCAATATCTCATTATCAATAATTAAATTTGTCAATTTCTCTGCTCTTATACTTTATAAGATATTAATTGTAATTTAATTGTTAATTATTAATTGTATTGTAGTTAATTGTTAATTTTGAAAGAATGTTTCTGACCACAAAAATATACAGCATCTTTTTTGTTTACTATTATGTGTATTTGGTTAGAAATTTTTCATCATTGGAAAAAGGTCCTATCTAAAAATAAATTTATTGATTCCAGTTTGTTGTAGGTGCGGCTGGTCTTAGTAGTTACAGCTATGTAGTTCTGCCTGAAGGTCTCAGGTTCAATTCCTGCCGATCACCAAACACTTTCAGCTATGTTGTGATATTGACAATGACAATTATGTAAACTGTTGGTTAAAATCCGAAAAGTTATTGTTACGAAAGTCACATTAGTTTTACAATACAGACAAAACATTTGGTTTATGCTGACCAGTAGGGGACATTCAAAGAGCCATTTGTATTCTAAGAGGTGTTGAGCAAATGGGCAATGGCTAAATCCACCACTCAGCTATATAACTGCCAAAATGTTCAGACATAACCATTTGGGAGAAGCTTACCTAGCACATTTTGTCTTATGGTCCGCAGACTGTTTAAGTAATGATCTTAAGGTTAAGATATAAGCTTAGTATTTCTTTTTTGATCAATGTCTCAATAGGTATCAATGTATAAATTAGTGATAGTTATATTATTAGGCTATCATTGTTTTATACTAGTAATTACTAATAGTAATTATTTCATATGTGATTCTATTTTAAACCATGATTTTTGTTACTGAGATCATGATTTCATTTCAGTTTTTTTTGTTTTTTTTTTTTGCCTCTTGGTCACAAATTTAAATTCATACTAAGAGGTTAAAATACCTTTCATCCCTCAGAGTAATCAAAGTCACCGATGAATGGCAACTGGTTTCAACCCGGCAACGGGGTCATCTTCAGGCGATAAAAGAACATAAATTCACTCCAAAGAGGTCGTCAGATAGTCTATAAATATATAACAAAAACTATACTAAAATACATTTTTTTTAACGCATAGCACTGTGGCGCAGTCAATTTGTGACCACACGTGTTTTTTTAGAATGTATTTAAGTGTTCGTTATGTATTTACAGACTTTCTGACGACCTTTTCGGAGTGAATTTATGTTCTTATCTCCTGAAGATGACCAAATTGCCAGGTTGAAACCGGTCGCCACTCATCGGTGACGTTGGTCACACTGACGGAAGGCATTTTATTTTAACCTCTAGTATTAGATCATGATATTTGGTGTGAAATAGAAAATTAGATAGCTTAAAACAGAGTCATCCTAAAAGCTTGACTTGGTTGAAAAGTTGGTTTATTCAACTGAAATCAGTAATTCGCAGTTCACTCTACCATTGACTCAATTCAACTACAATTTTGATCCAAAACCAGAATGTCTAGATCTAACCAATAGTCAAAGGTATCCAATCGATCACAATTTAGCGTCCGAATGGTTGATACATTTATTTACTACCGTACAACAAAGAATTTAGCAACAAGTAGAAACATAGTACTAACAACAACAACATCCTACTAATATTATAAATGAGAAAGTTTGGATGTATGTTTGTGACAAGTGAACGTGAAAAATACTGGTCGGATTGGGCTGAAATTTGGCATGATGATAGCTCACATTCCCGATTAACATATAGGCATATTCTTATTTCAAAAATCCTTTCGGGCTCCGCCCGTTGGTAAAACAGTTTACTGCATTAACAAATATCACAGCGGTTGGCAGCACAGCTTTCTACAATATAGCAACATCAACAATGCACTTCAGTTGAGCATGAAGATCTTATGTCTACAAGTTTGGAACTCAAGATAGAGCACAATGTTGATAAACTTGGACACAATATCCGAGTGGCGAAATTTCATGTATAAACTATACACAGTTTATGCAGTGCAGTAATACATCCATTGCTCAAAGCATCAATTTCTCATATAGCATTTAACAATTTTAGAGCTATTACTTAAATTAATTAAAATGTTAAATAATTGTACTTTTAAAGAGTTTTATTTAGAAACATAATTTAACTGCAAAATTTCAACAGAATCAATATCAATATCTATTTTTTTTTTTTTTTTTTTTTTAAGCAAGTTGAAATTTGTATGTATTAGTTTGGTAATAACACTTTTTTAGTGTACCATATTATTGTTCCAACTATAGTTATGAATGGATGATTGAAATTCGTTTTACTTCACATTTGCTGCAAAGAGTGAAAATTTTTAAGAATATAATAAAAAATAAATATTTTCTTCTCTACTAACACAATATTATAGTTCGGCCGCTTAGAAAGCGACCTCCTCCAGCATTGGTTTAGCATTAGCGCGCAGGTCGTTTTCAAAGCGTCCGAACTATAGTAGTTACTTAATAGTACATTTCATCACTAGAGCGTAAAGTGACTTTTTCGACCCAAGCTTAAGTTTTACGATTGAGGCGAAGCCAAAAGGCCAGAAAATGAGCGAGGGTTGAAAAGACACTTTTTGAAATGAAATGTTTATTCGTCACATAAGTTTACAAGATTGTGATTTTCACATATAAACATATGACATGTCAATACCACTTTACTATCTAATAATACCTTATGCTAAATTCTTTGTTTTTATCAATCCATAAAACCTAAAGCTAAGTTTTTATAAAATCATCTAGGGAATAAGGACACAAGAGAATGAGATAAGATTTTAGTTTTCTTTTAAAGGATGACATATTTTCTTCAGTTTTAATTTGATCTGGGAGGTTATTGTAAATTTTCCTACCCATGTACCATGGCGATCCTTCATACAGAGCTGTTCTATGCACAGGATATTGAAGATCATTCCTGTGTCGGGTGTTATATTGATGAGTGTAATTTTTCAACATAAATTCCTTATAATTTCTTTTTACAAAGATGCACAGTTGAAAAATATAAACTGCATAAATTGTCAAGAGTTTCATCTGAATAAAAAGGGGGCGGCAAGAGGAACGTGGTCTGGTATCAGCTAAAATTCTAACGGCAATTTTTTGTAAGATAAAAATATTCTTGGTAATGGGGGAGCTGCCCCATGAGATAATACCATAGGAAGACCTAGACATAAAATAAGAATGATACACAGCAAGAGCTGCATGCAAACCTTGAAGACTTATAAACCACCCTTAGACCAAACAGTGCTTTTTTGCCCATATGATGAACTTATTTTTCCTCATATTGCATCATTATTTGAAAAGCTACGTGAAAAAAACTGAAATAGTTTTCATTAAAAAATAACCTCTCAAAACTATTTCTAAATAGTTTTCAATTTAATTTCCTTATGAAAATAAGCAGCTGTTTAAAGTGATTCTATTGTTCCGTCTATTATTATGTTAGTGTATTCTTATTGATATGACAACTGTTTACAATAATGCAGCAATTAACTACAATCGATACATACTTTAGATACATGCAATTTACAATCAAAATTTACAACTGAACTGACAACAGCAGATTTTTACTCCCTAAGGGCTAAAAGCGGTTTTTACTCTCTAGAGAGCTCTAGAGTCTAAAGAGTAAACAGGGTTTTTAGCCCCTAGACAGTAAAATGCTATTTTATACTCGCAACGCATGTATTAAAAACGGCTGTTTTTGCTTCATTATGACGTAAATTGATTTTTATTTGAATGAAAAAACTACAGAATAAGTTTCAGTTGTTTTTCAAGCTTTTGTATTATGGCTTATTGAATCAGCAGATACCACCTCCACTTAAATATGCTTTCTTAACAAAAAACTTTTTAATAACTGAGCTCTGATTGCAGTGACTGTAAAACATTTTGTTTAATTCAAGCCAAAATGTGCTTTCTGACTTAAATTCCAAATTAATTACAATGGCTGATAAATGATAATAAATCAATAAAGAGAAACTGGATGATTCAGATTTATGGAATTTTATATCATAAATCATACTTGCAGAGCATAGAACATGTTGTTGATATTAAATCTTCCCCCTTTTGTACAACCTGTCCCCGTATATTGCCTAAGGAATAATGTATAAGTCAAAATACAACCGATTTAGCTGATGTGGTGAATATAAATACAAAGTATTAAAACTGAAGATGAAAACTTTGGGAAATTGTGTTCAAATTTTAACAATCAACTTTATTTGTGTTAATATTTGTTTGTTTACAATTCAACATAATTCAAAAGTTTTAGATTATAGCTTACATTTCCTTGAGTTATGCGTATCTAATAGAATAAACTGTTTTAGACATATTCAGTAAAATTGATGTGTATTTTTCTTCAGTAAACAAAACAACTCAATTGTAAACATAAAAACAATTAATTGATATTAAAACATATGACAATAACACCAGCTGGTACACTACAATGTAGCTGTAAACAGTGTAACTTAATCAGCTGTTTTACAAAGCATGTAAAATTTTGCTAAAACTATTAATTTAAATTTAATGAGACATACAGTATCGAACATACTATACTCCATTCACAAAATCAAGGCGATTATATGGTAGGAAATCTATCCCCTCCACGTCTTGATCCTACCATTCAAAAACAGCTCATCAGCTGAGATTTGTCAAAACGTCAATTAGCTGCAACATACATTTAGCAGAAAAAAAAATGGTGGAGAGTCTTCCTCTCAAACTTTG